TTGCTAGCAGTATCTTTTCTCACACTTCTCGCCCGTGGAACTATTGCATATCTTCTATCGGTCGGTCTTTGCTGGATACTTTGGTTCAGGACTTCAACACAGAGAATATTAACTTATCTATTTCATTATTCGCATCAACATGTATACTTTCTAACTATCCAGGGTGGAGTTGTTTCCTCTCACTAGAGAGCCGTTTCAGACACGAAAGTGAACATGTCTACATTGCTTGACGCGTAAGAACCAACTCTCCGAAAAAAAAAAAAAATTCTCTATCATTCCCACGCTAACTCAGCCAATCAAAATCGACTTCCTTATTATGACATGCATATGACCTCAAAGATCAACTTCCAGTCGCAACTGAGATACAATTCCCACCTAAAAATAATAGTCTGCTAAATTATTATTTAACAGAACTCTCTGCCGGTTTATTGCTTTCAAGCCAACTTTGATATTCAAAAATTTAATTGATTCATCTTCTTTTATTGTTCTCACTCCTTAATAATGTTTTCTTTTTCTTATTCTTTTACACTCGGTAACCCCTTGTGTCTTAGTGGCTTTATTGACTTCCTTGGGGTAGAATAAAAAATAATATTATGTTATTGGATTAAGCATTTTCGTATATTTTATTAATGAAATTTATTGCAACACTCTGGGTCGATAAATTCTTCATTATTGCTTCAACTTTATTATTAATTTTACACCATTATTGTCGTCTTTTAACACACCAACGTGGCTCGTAAATAATGAAGAGTGTATCAATTATAAGAAGACTTGAACGACCAACTGTGTCGTGATGAATACAAAAGAAAGTAATATGGAGTAAGTTAGTAATAAAATAATAATAGTAATGAAGAGTGTACCGATTTTATGAAGACTATTTCGAGCCTAGTGTGATGTGATGAAACGACAAAATGAAATGATTTAAGCTAGTAATAAAAATAATAATGAAGAACGAATCGATTGTATGAAGATTGTATCGACCCAGTGTGTTGTGATAAAGACAAAAGTAGTGTAAACGAATATCTCCAAATAATTTACAAGATTGGAGTTTGTTTAACGAATTAACAATGTCATCTTCCCTCTTGCAATTACTTTCTTAGCTATAGCACCTCGGCAAAAAAGCTGCTTATGTGCACCTTTTCATAAAGAAAGACAAGAATGCACTTTTCCTTCATTCTGTCACATCAGCAAAGAACACTGCCAATTTCGCTACTATACGAATCACTCACCAAACTTGATTAAGTAATGTCCGTTTCTTGGAAATTTTCTTGGTTTTTGTTTTCTTTTGTCGTTTTATATGCTTTTTTTTTGCTTTGGCAGGCTTAGTTTTTTATGCTAATTTTTTAAATGTTTTTACCAGTGGTTTGGCTTCTGTTGGTTAATTACATATATTATTCTTTACCATGCACACCCTATCTCGAAATGCGCACTTCATCTCCTTGAAATCTTGCAACAGCAGAGATCTAATTTTCGAAATGTGTCTATAAAAAATTAACTTCTATTCCATTAAAAGCCTTCAAAACTATCTCGATTATCCGAGGGATACCTAAAAAACTGCTGACTCATTTGCCAAAATCACTCTTCTGATGTTGGACCATTGCAAAACCGATTTTGAGAAGTGGGTCGGGATGAGAAATTTTCAGAGGTTCCTGTTAACATCAAGGAACTATCATACCTACTAAGTCCTTTACCAAAGGAAAAAATGATCATAAAAAGCCAAAAGAAAACCAAAAAACTAATTTCCGAGAAGGGGATGTTACTTAATCAATATCGTTTATTGCTTAATGGGTATAGTGGCGTTAATGTTCTTTGGTGATGGGACAGTATGAAGACAAATAGAATTCATGCATTTCCTTACAGAATCTATTTATCTATATATAAAATTCAGATCAGAAATAATATCAGGATGCATACAAACAAAAAAGTTCCTTTTGAGTTCGTTTGAACCAGGATGAAAGTATGCATATTTCATATAACCTCCGCCTCCGATACAATTTCATTACCCTTACTTATCTCTTCCCCTTCTATTACGCTAAGCGTAGTGAGTTTATTTATTTATTTTTAAGTAATAAAACGTTAGGAAATTATTTAACAAGGGTCGTCTCAAGATATTGAAACGAAGGTAGCGTGATCCGCTGATCTTTTTTTTTTTTTTTTTTTAAATACACACGGATATATATATATATATACACGGCTCTTTTCTTCCCTGAATTGAGAACTGTCAGTCATTGGCGTGTTTATTCACACAGTAAGTACGTAAAAATTCCCCCTTTCTTTCAACCGTGCAGCGATAGCTTAGGGGGGGGGGGAATCACCCGGCTTCAAGCAATCGGATGTCTAGCCACACTGATGAGAGTTGTGAAACTGTAGTTGACACACACACACACACACACACACACACACACACACACATATATATATATATATATATATATATATATATAAATATTAGGAGCATTTGAGCATTAATTGTATTTAATTAATTCATCGAGTCTGATAGAAACTTGAACCCTATATTTGGGACTCATCAGCAGTGCGCATCCACTACCGAGAATTGAAACCCTAACAGTTAGTTTGTTAAGCCAACATCATACGAACTGTTCTAATGGGCCTCGGTGACGAGGAGATTGCAAATCAGACTCAATATAGCGCCGCTCGCTCACATATTCCGTGGTGGAACTCTACTGAGTTCTCTCTAACCATAGGACTGTGCCCCCTGGAGCCACGACTACTCTCACCAAGCCGCTCACTCTAGAGCATTAGAACCCGGTTCAAGCAATGATATACACAGATAGAAATTATTAGGAGGATTTGATAATTATATTTAAATATAGGACGAAACGGCCGTCCAGTGCTTTCTGCATTCTGTTGAGGTTTCTATCAGACTTGATGAATTAATTAAATATATATATATATATATATATATATATATAAGCGGACACTGACATACACTTTCCTATATTGAGCAATTTCACCCCTAAATATATCATAGCTTAAAACTATATATATATATATATATATATATATATATATATATATATATATATATATATATATTACATGAATATATATACAGATATAGAAGTTAATATATATATATATATATATATATATATATATATATATATATATATATATTAATGAATATATATATACAGATATAGAAGTTAATGATTTAAATGGCGAGAATACATCTTCGCAAACAATTATAATAAAGTACATTAACCCCGAACCTGTAGATGAATGTTATGATCCCTGTTTATAAATTCCAGTTGTATAAGGTCTTTTTTTAGTTTTTTACAAGCTTTCGTCTGTTCCTACAGACATCTTCAGGTATGGAAAATAGATTTGTTTTTGTTTTTTACTTCTCGGTAATAACAGGAAAACGAAAATATAGATGTAATCCGAAAAAATGTTTTTAGAAATGTGTTATTGTTAATTGTGAGAAATTTTTTTGGGAGCGTGCGGTCTCAACGCTGAGGTTGAATTTTTAAATTTTAAGATTGTGCGTTTTTGCACTAATATGGTAATAAGAGAATTCTTTTGTACTGGTAGGTTTTTCAGTTAATGTGGTATGAACTAAATTGTTCAATAAATACAGGAATGTCACAGTTGTTATCTGAAAGTTGCACGTCGGATCAGTTATTTTAATATTTTTGTATGAATGATTCATGTAATGTAAATTGAACTGCACCACATACTTGATATTAAAATAACTGATCCGACGTGCAACTTATATATATATATATATATATATATATATATATATATATATGTGTGTGTGTGTGTGTGTGTGTGTGTGTGTGTGTTTGTGTGTGTGTCTGTGTGTGTGTCTGTGTGTGTGTGTGTGTAAAAGTGAATTACCTTTTTAAAAACTGGATGTTTTCTTCTCTTCTTTGGATTCCTGTCTTCATCATTATCGCTTGAAACACCCTTCGGTCAAGTACCCAGATCCGGACATCGGAAACAGCTAAAAAGAAGAAGAAAAAATAAACAACTTCGAGAAAAACTGTATATGAAATGAAAGAGAATTGATAATCCCTTTGGGGAATTGACGATTTAGTGAGCGGTACAAAATATAATTAGAGCAAACAAAACGGACACGTTTAAAAAGGGAGATAAAATTGGAAAACAATTGAGTTACCTTCATAAAGAAGAAGAGCAGACGAGTGCAGATGAGTTAGGAGCGAAGACCGGTTCGCTCATGAACGAGAAATAGTTTGTAATTATTTCAATTCCAAGATAAATTATATTCAATATTGATTTTTTAAAATACTTTTTGCTGCATCGTGCTGTTTTTTTTATCTTAACCTTTTAGGCTGAATACTCTCCTACCGTCAAAGTAAGTGGAATGAAATAGAAATCAAAGAAACATGGCTTAGTAGCGCATAAAGCCAAATGAGAAAAGAGAAACTCTGTTAGAAATGAGGAAGTCCTACTTTCCTTGAAAACTGATATCCAAAAACCTGTTTAGTTCTGTACCCGTACATCCAGCTTATTATTTTAAAGCCAGAAATCATTTTTAGATTGTAAGAAATTTTTGGGATATAATAATAGTTTAATGAAACAAATTTTATTAATTAACCCATATCTGGGCAAGAGGTGACATTATACTTTTACGAATGGTATTTGTGGGTAAGCGAATATAACGAAACCCAAACGGCATTGGAACTCGACTCACCCACTGCCTTCTCCAGAGTTTGGAAATCAGAGTTTTCATTCTTTTAGACTGCGTACCCTGTTATTTAACCCATAGCTGGAGTGCTGCTAATGGGTTGGTCAAAAGATTTATTCGATTAGTAAGTAGAAAATTTACGAACAAGAATCCGAACAACAATCCAATGTTAAGAGCTTTAATTGTTGTAAAGTTCTTGTTCGATGTTTCTAGAGCCTTTCAACTAGAGCAATTTTAATGGACATGGTAGTCGCTTACGTGTCTTATAATTGTCTTAGTTCTTTAATTCCGAGCCATTATCCATTACCCTACGAGCAAATCTAAGCTTACAGTACCTGGTATTCCTGAGCGGTCACCCATCTAGGTACGTTGCTTAACTTCAGTGGTCGTACGGGAACTGGTGCTTCAAACTAATGTGGCCATAAGTATATTACGAAATTTGCGATGAACTATTTCTGTTATTAATTTTAGACTTTTCTTTATTTTACTGTAGAAAGACATAATATATGCTTGTCACCAAATGGTACAGCCCGATTCGGGAACTCCACAGTAGAGACCACAAGATCAAGCAAGTACGAATATTTAAATATCTAGAAAGTGTTTCAACAGAGAACAGAAAATGTAACACCGAGATCCAAAGGCGTATAGAGAAATATGACTTTCGAGAGCTAAACAAAGTATTAGTAAGAAATAAGAATATTTCTTTGGAAACAAGTAAAATAATGCTGTTTTTTTTTTGGTACTATCGGTCCTCCTATATGGCAGTGAATGCAGGACAATCTCCTCACAGATGAAGAAGAGAATTGAAGCAACATAAATGTGGTTCTACAGGAGGATGCTGGGAATAACATAGACCGAATATGCGAGCAACTCGGAAGTTTTAAGGAAAATGGAAACAAGAAGGATACTTCTACTTAGAAACAGAAAAAGAAAACTGAAATGTTTAGGGCACATACTGAGGAAAGAGGACTTAAAGAATTTGACACTCACAGGAAATACGGAAAGCAATAAAATACAACTTGTTCAACGAACTTGTGTATGTGGTTGTCAGAATAGAGATTAGCAGGGACATCAAAAAGCTAAAAGGGTCAGGAAGTTACGAAGAGCAATGGTCGGCCACGTCATGAAGGGACACGGCGCATAGAGGAAGAAGAACATTATTCTTAAATTTAGGCATTTGATTTTCTTACCACCGGCTTTAAATTTGAATGATCTCCATCTATTAAAGTAGTACGAAGTATCAATAAAGCAGTTAATCCCGACGCATCTTTAACTTGCATCCCGTGATCCTGTCTTTCATATAAGACTTCTAACCGAATCAGCTACAAAAGCTTATAGCTAGCTGGGTAAGCACATGACATTGTTGCCACCTATGTAAACCGCACACGTGAAACCGGGTTTTTTCACTACACACTTCCGTGACAAACAGTTTTTGTGCATCTGGTACTACTACTATATACTATATTATAGAACATTAGTATTTGTTATATTTTATGCTGGAACTGAGATCTGTCCAGTTAAACACGTTTCTTTGTTTGCAACAGAAGACAATGATACCAGATGACTGCAGAGGAGTATATTCTATATTAAATCAGCATCGTGACGGGATTCGAAAAATGGTGATTTCTTTTCGCGATTTCGAACCAGATAAAAAAATTTCTACACTGTGAAATGCAAGCAAAGACTTATGATTGGTCAGAACACCTTGCAGTCAAAGACTACCTATGGAGAGAAAGAAAATCTGATAATTTGAGTTACGATGACAACTAGATTTCGATAACAGCGGAAATAGATCAACGTTTTTTTTTTTGTTTTCTTTTTTTTTAAGCGTTTCACCCCAAGCAAGGCGGGAAGCCACTAGGACGCAAGGGGTTACAGAAAATTTGGAGCAAGATCAGATAGGAGTGATAATGCATTTACAATATATTTAAATTTTCTCTATTTTGGAGGTGATGGGGGAGGGGTCTTTAAAATCCTTTTTTTGTAGCAACGTCCCAAGCTCGGCTATTTACATTATTCGGAAAATTGTCCTCATCTTTGTTGCCATAATTATTATAAGGTTTCGGCCGTTGTACACTCCGACCTTCGTCTGGTGGTTGGAATGTCGAACTGAACCCTTTATTTCGCTCGCTGGGGTAGACTTTTCAAATTCCACGTGCCATGTCTAATGAATGTCATCAGTTATCTCCTGTTAATTCCCCTCTCCAAGATCTCCAAGGCGTTAGTTAGATCCAGTGACCGAACCCAAAGAGTGTGAATTCAATACCTGGTTAAGGCGGTGAGGGAATTTGGAGAGGGGAGTTAACAGGAGATAACTTATAACTGACATCCATTAGATGTGGCACGTGGAACTAGAACAGTCTACCCCAGTGAGCGAAATAAAGGGTTCAGTTCGACATTCCAACCACCTGAAGAAGGCCGGAGCGTACAATGGCCGAAACGTTGTGATAAATACGGCAACAAAGATGAGGATAATAGTCTGAATAATGTAAATAGTTTACATGACACCTCATCGCAAAAATATAGATAGAGACCCAAGCTAGATATTGATGAATCAAAGTATATCCCCAGCATATAACCTGAGCATAATCACCTTGGTATATATTGTTTAGAAGGATTAACTCGAGTAGATAGTTAAAAAAATGAAATGAAATTGGGGTTTCATCAAGACTGGTGAAAGTTGAACATGTATATTTAGTCTAAGAAGGGTTAAAATTTCTTTTCGATATTCATCGTTTCTTGTTAAAAACTGAGAAGCCGGACTACAAACTGAAAATAAGAACAACTCAAGCAAGTAACTTTGTTATATTATATCTGGTTTCTATTCTTCATTGGAGGCACGGTGGAGTAATGGATAGCGGCTCGGACTGAGGAATAGGAGAGCCGAGTTCGAATTCCAGTCGAATCCATTACATTCACTTACGTGCTAACACCCTTGGTAAAGGTATGAATCCTCTTGGACGGTAACTGGTTTACCAAAGAAAGAAATGGCAACGCCAGTTACGGACAGACCGGGTTCTATAGAATTTGATGGTAAGTGGTCTACTACAGAAAGAAATGGCAACCTATGCAGGGAAAAAAATCTGCCTCGTCAGTCATGTATCGAAAAATACATGAACACCTAAGCATGTATCACGCATGGTACATAACTGACTGGTGAGGTATAATGGTGTGATATAACAGAATGCGAAATCAGAGAGCTGAGTTTGAATTCCAGTCTGGTTCATTACATTCACTTACATGCAAATACTCTAGGCTCTGTCTCTTCTCTCCCGGCTATGGGTAAATAGAAGAACAGACCGGGTTCTATAACCTTGGATGGCAACTGCTCTACCGCAGAAAAAAATTTGCCTCGTCAGTCATGTATCGAAAGATACATGATCGCCTAAGACTGATTTTTCACGTAATAAGATTCGAGAAGAATTAGATTCATCCAGGTAATTGAGAAGATATATATGAAAAAAAACATACATTCATTAGAAAGAAATCACCATATTAAAAAAAAAAAAGTACATTTTCTTAACTTAGCAAAACAGAAAGTTGTTAAAAAGAATATAATCATTCTCTGTTGGCCCCTAAAACAAAAAATCGGGCCATTATTGGTCAAGTTGCTCATCACGACATAGAGTCCTTAATATTGTGGTACCAATCATTGGTTTCTTTCTCCACAACATCCAGAATTCCGGGGAATTTAGCTCAGCTCAAAAGACATAGGCGGCTAAATGTTATGGATGACATGATCATGAAAACACTTCGCCATGTGAAAAACAGGAAGTTCCTGTTGGAACGCGTAAATTTAAATAGTAAAACAATGAGACCTAACTGCCAATCTAGCACTATACTTAAATCCATACCGTCCAGGTACTAGGGAGGAAAGCTCATGAGAACAATTAGTATTGGAATATTTGTAGAAAAGATAGAGGGCAGCCACGTTATTGCGATGTGAAAATGACTGAAACCGAGATGCCAGGTCACGACCGATAACATTACACACTCTTTTGGGGATTTGACATGAATCTCGTGATATATTACAAAATCCCAAGACCAGATCAGACGTAGCAGCAATATTCAATGCAGGAACAAGTGGTAGGTTTTGCAGCGTGCAAGATGGAGAATGGCTATAAAAATTGTCTGGCACGATCAAGTCAGCAAACATTCTTAGCAGCGGATTTACCAGTTTAATAAGCTGAACTGGCTAAGGACATATCAATTAAATAAAAATAAGTCAAATGAATAAAATATATAAGGAATGTTGCCATTGTCCCCAGTCTCATTATATGAAAAAAAAAAAAAAAACAACACAGAAACACACACACACATACACAACACAACAACAACGACAACAAACCAAGGAATAAAAATGGTAATTGTTCCTACCTCGAACTGATGCTGTCCGAGTGCAGTTATATAAAATTGCAAGTTCACCAAAAGCTCGCCCGGGTCCCATCTTACCAAGAACCTGCTTTCCTTTGACAACATCAAATTCTCCCTCTGTAAAATAAATAAATAAGTAAAATAAAATAATTGTTTGGAATGAAATAGCAAAACACTTTTTTTTTTATTAACATTAAGTATTTGTTTATTCAAATTATCCGGGTCTTGTAATTTTGCCTTTTGTTACAATTAATGCGTTATTTATTTTAATTCAAGTTGAATTAACCCCCCCCCAAAAAAAACCCCCCAAAAAACCCAAAACAAACTTATCTCTTTTTAAGTGGTATCTGGTCATTTTTCCAAGAATTTATTCGGAATAATCCTCCTTGTTTATTTATTACATTTCGACCAGTGTATTCTCCGTTGCTCATCAGTCGTATTCATCTGAATTTTCTCTTTGTAAATAGTTGCAAATGTCGCTCAAAAGAGTGGGGGAGAGAAAATACATTCATTTAAAAGGTTCTTTCGTTAGTTTTTTAGTGGGATATGGGGAATTTATGTATGAATGTTGTTGTGGATGTTTATGACTCGAATATAGAATTTTTAACAGAGAAATAATTATAGGATTAGTAAATTAGTTATGCACTGATATATATAGGAAGGGCAAAATAGTTATATACTAATATATATATAGGAAAAAGTAAGAGCAAAATATAAATTAGTTGTATATTAATATATATATATATATATATATATATATATATATATATATATATATATATAGTACGGGCAAAATAAAGATGAAAACAACAAGAATGAGGATATTCGCACGAATAATTTGTAAACAGTAATAATAATTACTGCTGAAAATTTCAGACAACATTAAAAAGTCTGAAGTATACATTGGTTAAGATAGAGTAATAAGAGTAAAAAAAAAAGTGAAAAATTTTGTTGCAAGAATTTGGTTAATAATGATGATTTCTCATATCCAATTTTCAAAAGCAAGAACGACAGATTAAAGGATACTTTGGTCAAAAACACCGTGGCAAA